TAACCAGTTACCAATCCATTAGAGGACCTTCCCTCTTATCCCATGACAGCTTACTTTGCTTAAGAGCCTTTGGCAAGGGACTTTGTCAAAAGCTTTTTGAAAATCTAACTACACTATATCAACTGGATCACCCTTGTCCACATGCTCGTTGACCCCCTCAAAGAATTCTAGTAAATCATGGTCATCTATGTGTCTAATAATTCTGTTCTTTACTATAGTTTCAACCAGTTTGCCTCGTACTGAAATCAGGCTTCCCGGGCTGTAATTGCCAGGATCGCCTCTGGAGCCTTTTTTAAAAATTAGTGTCACATTATCTATCCTCCAGTCATCTGGTACAGAAGCTGGTTTAAATGATATTACATACCACAGTTAGTAGTTCTGCAATTTCACATTTGAGTTCTTTCAGAACTCATGGGTGAATGCCATCTGGTTCTGCTGACTTATTACTGTTTAGTTTATCAATTTGTTCCAAAACCTCCTCTAATGACATCTCAATCTGGGACAGTTCCTCAGATTTGTCACCTAAAAAGAATGGCTCAGGTTTGGGAATCTCCCTCACATCCTCAACAGTGAAGACCGATGAAGAGAAACTAAATGAATTCTTTGCAATGGCCTTATCATCCTTGAGTGCTCCTTTAGCATCTCGATTGTCCAGTGGGCCCACTGGTTGTTTCGCAGGCTTCCTGCTTCTGATGTACTTAAAAAAAATTTTGCTATTACTTTTTGAGCCTTTGGCTAGCTGTTCTTTAAATTCTTTTTTGGCCTTCCTAATTATATTTTTACACTTCGCTTGCCAAAGTTTGTGCTCCTTTCTATTTTCCTCAACAGGATTTAACTTCCACTTTTTAAAGGATAAAGTCAAAAGATATTTAAAATACTAATTTCAGCACATAAATCTCCCATTATGAATACTTGAATCTCTTTGACATCCATATCGCCCCCTTCTAATCCATATAAAATACAGCTGCTAAGACCATCTTCCTTGTCTGACACACTGAACACATCACAACACTCTTCTAAATCTCTCCATTGCCACCTATCCAATCACACACCCCCCAAGTTACGAGGCAGATAAGTTCAACCTTCTTGCCCTCACCTACAAGGTTGTTCATAACTCATCTCCTCCTTGTTTGCCCATTCATCTCTTATTGCAGGGTCCCACCTGCTTATCTCCACTAATAATGCCAGTTTCACCTCCTGTTCATTAGCTTCTCATACAAACATTTCAATACTTTTTCTTCCTACTCCCCCCCCACCCCGCCTCCATCAATGGCTCTCCACTTGTTTCTTCCATGCGTGTGAAGCTGTGGATGTGGACAATCCATTCACACAGACTCCCGCCCTCATTCATCATGCCCTTTATACGCAAATGACTTGAAAAATTTACCTCACTGACGAGGAGTAATTTCCTGGAGAGATACAAACTGCGCTTCCACAATTTCTGGGATTCCTTTCATCATGCTGTCCCTGGGCCCAGCTTTGGGATCCTATCTTTCAAATCAGAGTTGTCTGAACAATTTGAATTCTCCCCTCCATCACCTAAAATACCCTCTGGTTACTGGAGCGGGAAAGGAGCATTAGAGAGCCTCCTGGCTGCTGTGATGGTGGTGTCTGCTAATTTACCCCTCCCTCCAACCTCCAAATCCCCCATGAATAGCTTTAGTGCCTGGGCGCCTCTGTGTCTCCTACCCTAGCCTTCTGCAGCAGAATAAAATGGACCTAATTCTTGTCAGTTTAAATCTTTTCCACAAGGTTTCCAGTAACAGAAGTGAAAACAGATAAAAGTCTGATCAGTTTTCATTCTACTACATCTTGAAAATGCTGAGTAGCAGCAGAGGTACTAAAGCTGTATATTCAAGAGTGAATGTATTGCCCATTTTTCTATATCTGTGTAAGCACTACCATAAACAGGACTCACGTATTTTTACCACCACTTTAATGAAAGCTTCATATGAAAGTGCCTCAGCCAGTCTACACTAACATTTACACTACCACTAGCACAGGGAAACTACATGATACTGACAATCAGATACTACATTTGCTAGTGTGAATTCAGGTAAACATTTGGAAGGTTATATTCTACAACATGCAACTAGAGACTTGTTTTTAAGCTGCAAAAGTTAATGGTACTCACCTAAAAAAAAGCCTCCTAATCATCTCTCTCCCCTGCCCCAGTCCTGCCTGTAACATCTAACATAATAACAATACACTTCTATTATTAAACTGCCCTTATACAACTGAGTCCTTCTACCACCATAATCAGATATGCTCAAAAAAGGGAGTCTAAGATTGGTAGCTGAATGTCTAATATTACTCATGAGTTTCACAAGCACGTGTATGAGATGTAACATAATTCAAATCTTAATATACATTACCTTAATTTACTACTATTTGCATACTTCTAATTGTTATATTTTATCTATAATTCTTGGTATTTATTTTTTGTAATGTTTCCTATTAAGGACTTGTCTACACTTGGAAATTTACCAAAATAACTACTCCAGAAGAGTTATTCTTGAAGAACTTCCCCATGTGGACAGTCAGTCTGGAATAAGAGTGTCCCAAAATAAGTCCATGTGGACACACTTACTCCACACTAAGGTTATGTCTTCACTACCGCCGGATCGGCGGGCAGCGATCGATCCAGCGGTGGTCGATTTATCACGTCTAGGCTAGACGAAATAAATCGACCCCCGAGCACTCTCCCGTCAATTCCTGTACTCTAGGTCAGCGAGAGGCGCAGGCGGAGTCGACGGGGGAGTGGCAGCAGTTGACTCACCGCGGTGAAGACACCAAGGTAAATCTATCTAAGTACGTCAACTTCAGCTACATTATTCACGTAGCCAAAGTTGCACAACTAAAATAGATCCCCACCCACCCCCAGTGTAGACCAGGCCTAAGAGTGCCCACATGAGGAGTTATTCTGGAATAATTATTCCAGAATAGCTATTTTGATACATTTCCAAAGACAAGAGCTTTGTTTGGCCATTTTAATTAAATTTGCAGTTTTTTGTCTGGGAATACACATTTAACTTTTTTAGTCCATGATGCTTCAAACAGTTATACAGATGAGTAATTCAAAGGGATTACTCACATGCATAAAGATGTGAGTTTATGGGATTAAGTTCTCAGGGTTTAACTTAAAGGGAACACTCAGGAAAATTAATCCAAAATTAACTAAAGGTGTGAATTTAAAACAGATTTGTTTCATCACATTCAATCCCTGTGTGGACTATCTTATTCAGAATTAAAGTGGTCTTAATTCAGGTTAGTTTAATTTACAAGAGATTAGATTAACTACTGTAATTGGTGTAGAGACAGTCTGAGTATGTGCACAATACCTCATACCATGCAGCCTCTGGGCACTACTTTAGTATAAATATTAAATATTTCAGCCAGACTCTTAATTAAATTGTGTTCAGCTCCACTGAATTCCCACCAAATTGTCAAAGTCATTCAAATTATCAATAAGGTCAGAATTTTAATGGTAATCAGAAAATAACACTGAAGGAAAATCTTCACAGATAAGCATTATTAAAATAGGTTTATGTTTAAAACTATTTATGTACAATTTTTCATACAGAAGAAAAAAATCAAAAGGCACTCATCAGTTTTACATGATGTTTAAATGTCTAACACCTAAAGATTGTTGTATGTATTTATTTCTGTTTTAGAAAAAATAGTTAAGTTTCTCCATATACAGAAATTCTCTCCTCCATATTACACAGCATTCAATTCCAAAAACCAAAGCAATTTTCAGTTAAGTGATGGTGAAAAAAAGTCAGACCACCACAAATAAAGTCAGTTAAATAACTGCATAGTTCTAATCCAGCTTTGTTTCATAAATATTTAATAATCCTTTTAGGATTTTTACCCTTCACGAACTCCACATTAATTGAAGTAACAAAAACACCTCTGGAAAAAAAAAAAAAAACACCCCACTGCTCAGACAATAGCTCACAAAACGTTTTATGCTGAGAGATTTTTTATACAGTCCATCACTATATAAAAATCAAAATACTAAATACTAGCTTTGTTGTAGTGCTGCCGGTACTTTAAGTGGAGTACTTTTGTTTGTTCATTACAAAGCCCTTGACTCCTTGAGTGTATTTCACAACACAGGGCAGATAGAGTCACACTCATAAGGTCTTAGTTCCATACATCTCACACACAATAGCTTTATGCAGCCTTTATAACCACAGAACACATTACAAACTGTTCAGGGACCACTTCACCCACTACTAAAAATCAGACACCGCTCATATGACATTCCTTGTTGTTTATGACATATTTGCAATTCACCCCTGGGGTTTCCCGGTTCCCATTACTGCAAGGAGGGAAAGCTGAAACAGGCAGTTATAGCTATGTTTTATGTAACCCACACACACTAGTTTGTGCAAGCAGTGAGAGAGGAGGAGATAGGTGGGGGAGCAGGGATTTCTCTGCTAGTTTCCCGTGGAGTGGTGGAAACACTGATGGTGACAGGAGGGCAGTGGGGGGGGGAGCAAGTAAAGGGGACCAACAAAGAAGGATCTCCCAGGGGGAAAAGGGCAACAAGGGACCAATAGAGTGGAGAATGTTGGTTGCTGGAGATGGGTTGGAGCACATGGGGATAAAGGCATGTAAGCCCCCCCCCCCTCCCTCTAGTGAGACTTTAGAGAGTGGCAGGCTCCTGGATGGGGAGGGTTGTGCTTTGAAGGGGTCAGAAGGGAAAAAGGAGCCTAGGGAAGCTAAGAGCGTTAGAGGGGGCAACTACCTAAAAGGAAAAAGGTACTGAGGGGACGGCGGCAGACTAGCCAAGGTAATATAAAGGAGGCAGGGGAAGGTATCCCGGAGAACTATGCACGGAAACAGCTCGGGCGGGGGGGGGGGCACAGAAGCATCGGGGGGCATCTAGGGTGGCTCTGAAGACGGCAGAGGGTCGGTGCAGGCGGCAAGATGGGCCCGCGGACCCGGCGCTGCCTGCCCCCCACCTCCCCGGCCCAGGGGGGCGCCCTCACCATGAGCACTTTGGCCGCGTTCTCCAGCTGGGCGATCACCTCAGGAGCCCCCCCCGCAGCCACGGCCGCCGCCATCATGGTCTCTCTTCAATGACGCGCCATGCGCTGCATTCTGGGACGAAGCGGTCGCAGAGCCAATCCCCCGGCCCGGCGGAGAAGCGCCCGGACCGAGAGTATCGGCGCCGACCTGCAGCAGCGTGACCGGCCAGAGCAGCAGGGGGAGAGGCGGAAGCACCAAGCGTGACTGCAGCAAGAGCCACCTCTCCGCGCTCTCCCCCGGGGCGGGCCCAGGGCACGCGGCCACAGACGGGGGGGCGGGACTAATGCAGGCCCAATACTGAGTTCGCCTGTTGCAGCACCGCCCAGGGTGAGAGGGGTCGCATCGCCTCGGGGGCTCAGCTGCGGTTTCTGCTTAACTTCGCTGGGGGCCGGCTGCAGCTCCCCTGTGACACTTGCTACACCGGGGGGGAGGGGCGCTTACGGGGTGGGGAGAGACTCGGCTCCCTGCACGCGCACCCCTCAGTCTGCTGGAACGGGGCGTGGGGGGAGACTCGGCTCCCTGCACGCGCACCCCTCAGTCTGCTGGAACGGGGCGTGGGGGGAACTCGGCTCCCTGCACGCGCACCCCTCAGTCTGCTGGAACGGGGGTGGGGGGAGACTCGGCTCCCGGCACGCGCACCCCTCAGTCTGCTGGAACAGGGGGGAGACTCGGCTCCCGGCACGCGCACCCCTCAGTCTGCTGGAACAGGGGGGATGGGGGGAGACTCGGCTCCCTGCACGCGCACCCCTAGCTTGGTCCGGCCCGAGGGGGCAGTTATTGCGGCTCCCTCGACGCACCCAATGGGGGTGTGGAGCTCGATTTTCCACGCTTTTCAGCTACTGCTCTCCTCCTCCAGTAAACTCAGCTTCCCCACGCACACTCCAGTCAGCAGCCTGGCTTCCTCCTCCTGTTGGCCAGCGGGCCAGGAGTGCTCCACAGGAGACCCACAAACAAGTGGGGGAGGGTGAGCACCCTCCCTTGTTTCTAAATGGGGGAGGGGAAGTCCCAACTAGAGAAGGTGGCCCTGGAATGGAAAAGGGTGAGAACCTCTGCAAGAGGGAACTTGGAGTTCAGCTTTCTTCCATGCCCCCAACAGTGAGGCAGCAGCTGCCTAGTTACATCAGCAGGGCCTTAGCTTTCTTCATCCCTTATAGGGGGGGTGGGACAAACTTTTTGGCCCAAGGGCCACATCGGGAAACAGAAATTGTATGGCAGGCCATGAATGCTCACAAAATTGGAGTGCGGGCTCTGGGGTGGGGCTAGGGATGACAAGTTTGGGGTGTAGGAGGATGCTCTGGACTGAGACTGAGGGGTTTGGAGGGTGGAGGGGATCATGGGTGCTGGAAGTGGTGCAGGTTCCAGCTGGGAGTGCGTGTTCTGGAGTGGGGCTGGGGATGAGAGGTTTGGGGTGCAGGAGGGTGCTCTGGGCTGGGACCAAGGGGTTCAGAGGGTGGGAGGGGAATCAAGGTTGGGGTAGGGGTGCAGGTTCCAGCTGGGAGTGCAGGCTCTGGGGTGGGGCTGGGATCGAGGGGTTTGGAGAGCAGGGGGGGATCAGGGGCTGGGGCAGAGGCTCAGGGGGTGCAGGCTGCGAGCAGCGCTTACCTCAAACGGCTCCTCAAGTAGTGGCATGTCCCTTCTCCAGCTCCTACGCAGCGGCGCAGCCAGACAGCTCTGCATGCTGCCCCATCTGCAGGCACTGCCCCTGCAGCTCCCATTGGAGCGCATAGGAGCCAGAGCGGGGCCATGCCACGGATTCCGGAAGTCGCGTGGTGCGGCCCTGGCCCAGCACATCAGCCAGAGCAGGACCAAGCTGCTGGTGCGACACCTGACCCAGAGCCGAGCCACGTGGTGCAGCTTGCGGGCCGGCTTAAAATGGCCCACAGGCTGTAGTTTGCCCCCCCCTCCCCACCCCAGTCTGGAGATTCAATCTTTCCGCACACCACCAGGGGCAGTGCTGGTTACCTGAGGCGGTGCCTTTTACCAAGGCAGAACATAAGAATGGCCATTCTGGATCAGGCCAATGCCCCATCTAGCTCAGTATCCTGTCTCTGGCTAGTGGCCAGTGCATGCAACTAGACCACTATGCAGCAGAATAGTACATGCAACTAGACCACTATGCTTCCCACTGACTGCTCATGCCTCATCCATGAAGATCCTGATACTATTTTGTTATTTAAGCTCACTTTCCTTCACATATTCATCCAATATTTGAAAATATTTATTTTTTAGTTGTGTAGATTGGAAAAGATTGACAAAAAAAGAAAATAATACACTTTGCCATCAGATGCATATCTCACATAGGTGGAAAGGTTTTCACTGGAAAGCAAATCAATGTTTAGTCAAGCTGTATTACAATTAAATGACTACTCCAAACTTGAGAGAGCACGTTTTCATATTTTCAGCAATGCTGGAGAGTCTTGTTAATTCTGTATTGTCTAACAATGTTAATATGGCCAACTGTTTGCTTGTCTTGACATCAGACACCAATGATGCTGCTTCTGCTGCTAGAAAAAAGAAACTCTTCCCTATAATGATATTTCCCTCCTTTTGTGATGTAAAGACTCACAAGATGAGATGTCTTCAAAGCTTGTGGACACTGGATGCACTTTTTTTTCTGGCTATGTTGCTCTGTAAACTTGTGCAGAAAAAAAAAATCACATGCTGGTTTTTCAAGTAAGAATGTTTGGTCTCAAATTAACTGGAGGGATTTGGGGTGAGGTTTTCAGCGTCCAACACTTCACAGCAAATAACTTTGGTGTGATACTCCTCTAGATATAGTCCAGCCAGTTCCTGATGGCTCATTTCCATGTATTTGCCGTCCTACTTTCTGACAGTCCTTCTCTTAGTTCCTTTTCCTCCCACACTGAGTACACTGCTGTCACAGTTCAGGGCAACTGCATCTGTATTTCCCCTCATTGGTCTAGCAAAGGCACTCTCAGGCTTCCAGCTGTCACCACATCTGGCTCCCTTCTGACCAGGGTATTTCCAGGCTGCACAGTTCTCTGCTTTCACTATTATTTCCATCACAGACAGGCTACCCAAGCACACCTGCTTGCTTTCTCTTCAGAGATGGTTAACAGGTATAATTGCTACAGTTATATGTTACCACACAGTTCTTTCTATACTAGCCTATTTTATTCTTAAGGAGAAAACATTACAGAAAAAAACACATTAAAATCAACAAAGGAACCTGCTAATAAGCTTACTGGGATTCCCTAACATGGGCTTTGGCACTGGCAAGAGCAGTCCAAATCCCAACTGAAGGGCATTCCTCATAGTTGCAAATTCATCACAGCTTCAGCTCCGAATGCATACCAGTCTTATGGGGCCTCAATAGGTCCAGTCTTTCCAACCCTTCCTTCCATGGACCAGGGGTCCTGTCTGTTTGCTGGATCAGGAATGAGGCCCTTAGCCAGTTTAAAATCAGGCCATTTATCCAAAAATCCTTTCTTTGTCTGTTGGTCCCTGGAGAATCCAGTTTGAACTAGTATATGTGAACCTCTCCAGGGGAGAGGCTTCAAAGAGATGATAAAAGAAGTACAATAACATTCCCCTCCTACTAAAGATGTTCAGTGCCACAGTAACACACACACAATTGGATTTTTAATACAATTTACCCCAAAGCCATTAACCCTAAGTCAATATGGATTAATTTAATTCAATAAGGTCTATCTTAATTCCCTAAGGTTTGTTTGGGATATTACAGGATATTGTCAGTCTGTCACAACCTTGTCATAGCTAATACTAGGCTCTGTCTTGGTTGGTTCTTTCTCCTTGGCACTTTGGCTCAAGCTGCCAGACTGTGACCAACAATTCATGATAAGACACAGAATCATGAATGAGCTGCTACAAATTGGAGGCCTCCTATTTGTACAGGCAGTAGGAAGCAGCAGGGAGAAAGAGGGGCTCGGAAAAGTGCTCTTGAGGAAGCTGATAAAAGGAGTGGGATGGGGGAGTAAGAAAGGCAACTGCAGGGATGGGAGGGCGGTGAAGATAGGTCACTTCAAGTAAACTTTCTATCCCAGACTGCTTCCACGCACACCTCCCACAGCTACCCAGCCAGTCCCTGATGCCTTGCTATTAGTATCCCAAGCATAGTCATTTCCCTTCCCTGCTCCTGGTGAGTACCCACTAATTCCCCTCCTCTGCTTAGCTTCTTCTTTACCCAACTCTAGGGCTCTTTTAGGAGCCTCCCCTCATATAAATAGGGGGCTGCGGTCCCCAGGCAAGCATTTTGGCCTCCTCTCCTAGGCAGGGTTCCTGCTCTGGCCTTATTGTTTCCCCCTCACATCTGCCACTTCCCAGCTCCTTCTTCCTCCAGCCTAACTTTCCCTGAAATACCTTCTAGTGGTGGCTTCCTCAGTACCTCTCTTCCTGAATGCCTCATCATGCTGCTCCCTCTGCAGTGTCTGCTCCTGCAGTCAGTCCTTCAGTAGCAATGGCTTTAGGATGGCAGCTCCAGTGGTAGCTGATCCTGTCCCAGTAGCCTGGCACCAGTCACCCCATGAAGCAGCTCCCACTGACAGCGGCAGCAGCAGTTCCTAGGTCAGTGGAGGAGGCAGCAGCAGATCCCTTTATTGAACAGCACAATTCCTTCAGGCATCCTGACAGGAGATGGGTGCAGGCCAACACATGAGATGGCTGCCCAGCTCCTCTATTTCTCTAGGAAGAAGAACCTCTGTCAATGTGGCACTATACAGCAGAGCTGGCTGAGAGGGACCAGGGAATGCTCACTGAGTGGCAGTTAAACTGCCATAACTGTTTCTTGATGAAGGGGGGGGAGGATGTGCTAAGACCCATCTTTCTCTCAGAGACTCTGTGGAAGGGGGAGTTCAAGAATGTGTTGAGCACCCACAGTTTTCTAAGGCAGGCTGAGTCTTCAGACATAACAACATTGCAGTGTCTATTGCAGTAATATTCAACTTAAGGATCTTGAATCACAGGTGATTTCTCTTAGGCCATCCAGTGGCTCTCTTCTCATGTATGAGAAAAGCATCATAGAGCATCCTGATGTAGATGCAGGGGTAGATGTAGATTACTCCAGAAGAAAAAAAGTCAGTTTAAAACACTGGTGGACAGAGCACAAAGACAGAGGTGGATAGCAGTAATGCGGCTAGAATCAGACTTCTGGAATCTCATGACAGACTTCTAATCCCAGCTCTCTCACTGGGCCATAAATAATAAATACTTATTGTATGTTTTTATTCAGCGGTGTTGATTATTTAACACATTACCTTGTTACTTTATGGTAAGTTTGCCACCTTCATTCTTGTATTT